TTGAACTAGAAGATCTCCAGAGGTCCCTTCCAACCTAAACGATTCTGTGTGATTCTGTGATTATTACTGCAATTAGTGTCCCTCTAATTTGGTTAGCCTTGTGTCAGGCTTCTAATTTTAATTTACCTCCAGGAGATGCTTTCATCTAAAATCCCAGTCTCAGCAGCTCCAGGCTGGCAAAGGACATGCTGAGCATGTCAAGGTGGTCACCTCTGACACCCAAGGCCCAAAGGCCCTTGGCTGTATGTCTGACTGAGCAGCCTGGGAACTGCTACTCAGGGCAACCACTCAGCCTTCCCGCATCTCATTTTCTGCCTCATAATATGAGAACATTTGTTCTAACTACCTTTCTGGGGTGGTAGGAAGAGACAACTGATAGAGCTGGCCTTTGCAGATAGCCACAAAGTATTGTTCACAGCACTTCTACAAGAAGTGTGCTCTGACATATGCTTTCCACTGAGTTGCCTTCTTAACTATTCAGACTGCAATATAAAGCAGTTGGGGGAGCTCTCTCTGCCTCCCCAAGCAATCTCCATCCTAAAGACATCCCCTCATAGGATATGTCATTTTTAGAGCAGCTCCTTCCCGCCCCTGTTGTTCCCAGGGAAGAGAGACAAGGATCTAAGAATTCAAAGCTCTTGAAACCCCTCCAGAAAGCTGCAATTTATGAGAAGCCTGTTCCAACTGGCACAAGGAAATCATCAGTTGAACAAAAACATTGTGTAATGCTCCCCTCTTCCCCCTGCCGTGCACACCTCCCCCTCAGAGAGGCAGGCAGCAGCCTGCAGGGAAGCCAACAAAGCCACCAGAAAGAAGAGGTGTTGGGGGAAGAGCAGTGGTGAAGCACTGGGCCTCTCCCACTAACATCTCAGCACTGTGGCATTTGCAGACCTCTCATGGCACTGAAGGCAAAAGATGACAAGGGAGGCTTGGCTGCTGAGGGGGTTGGACCACACGACTGGGGAGGAGTCTGCATTGTCCTCCTTTTGCTAATGGGCATTGGGCAAATCCAGCTCTCAGTTACTCTGAATGAAAAGTGGATGGAGCTGGCATCTGGGTCCTTCTTGATAAAATAGACTGAAAGGACAAGAGCTGAAATCAAGAGCAGCCCCCTGCCACTGGTTTACCTGGGACATGAGCTTGCCCCAAATTTGAACCTTGACTACCTTAAAATCCACGTCTAAATATTGTAGCACCGGGCCCAACTTCACATCAGTGAGTACAGTCATCTGAGGCTCAAGCATTTCACCTGGTAGGAGAGAGGAGGGGGGTGCCAGGGCTGTTTGGCCTTCCGGATTTCACAAGTCAGAGACCAGTGAGGATTTATGGAAGCGGTTTCCACATCTTTCAGTGTCACTCTTCCTTTGAGACATTGCCCAGGCAGTTGCATAGGTCCTCTGGAGACCTGTTAAAGTATGAGTAACACCTGACGATTTCTTTCTGGGCTTTTGGTTGTAATATGCCCAACAATGGAAGTGTATCTGATTCTGATCTTGCTGTGCCTACCACCTCCCCCTTACGAGCCTTTCCACACACACACACACACACACACCCATCTGTCTTGCTTGATCTAAAATAAAACCCGCCTAACAGACAGCTTCAGTCTATGAAAACATAGAGTGCTGGGAATACTCCAGCTGGGGTTTTATTCAGATGTTAAAAAAGAACGGTCAAACCATGGTATCTGCAACACTTTGGAGCAGAGGCAATCTGAAAATTCAGTGTGCAGCTCCATAAACATATAATCCCCTCGCCTTTCTAGTGTAAGTGGGACCTGTCAATCAGGGTATTTCTGGGATTATATCTTTATTTAATTGCGTTAATGGTAATATAGTGGGAGACATCAAAATACAAATCATTTGCTGATCATATGATAGCACTTTGTAGTGCCAAAAGAGTAAGGAATGAGACAGTTTCCTCAGCAATAATGACCTTTTTATAGAGGCTGAATTGGGGTTGTGACAGATGAGCAAGGTCTTGTCCATTAGTATGTTCTCACGGATCCATGCCAGAGAGCATGGACAACTGATTTTAGTTTAAAACATATAAAATTGCTTTATGCTTCATCTTAATTGACTCAGAAGAGGTCAGAAATCAAGCTGGGCAAGTTATTTTCAACTGGTTTTCTCATGCTGAAAGATATAGTGTTTTGAGTTGATTAAAACTGCAGGAATTGGATGTAGTTTGAAGAATGGCTTCAACCCACTGAAAGAAAGGGAGCAAGTAGAAAAGTTTCATTAAGACTTTTGCAGGGAAAAAAATTTGGCTGTTTATTACAAAAAAATGTTTGAATGAAAATGAGCTGTTCTTAATGGCTTCAGTTTTAAATTAATATGTTTAGAATTCTTTAAAATAAAACAAAAAGGAAGCCGGTTAAAATACTAGACCAACTCCTCCCATCCAAAATTTGCATACGTGTGAGCTTTTGGGGCAAAAAAAAAAAAAAAAATTATGAAATGTGGTGTTCAAGTTAGCCTGGGGAAAGTTGTTGTCTTCCAGTCTGGCCATGTAATTTAAAAATCAGATCAATTATTTGTGTAGTCTCAGACTCGCTCTTCATTTTCAGTGAGGAGCATGCCTCACAGCTAGGGAGCTATGGACAATCTGAGAGAGCTTGAATCAAAGTCTAGTGGAGCCCTGCTTCAAATATAAATGGTCCAGCTGGGTGCCCATGCCGTGAAACCTGAGCAGCATCTGAAATGCAGCCAGTTCTCCAAAGACGGGTATTATGGCCTTGATTCAGATGATCATGTTAAGGGTTACATCCAGGATGGACCCCAGAAGCACTGTCCTTGGCTGTCTCCAGCCTTTCTTTGCAGTCACCATAGGGGACGGTGGACCTACAGGACTGGCTGGCTGGGTTGCATTGTTGCCCTGGCTTCACTGCTGTTCTTATTGCTTTTGACAGCTGTCTATTTCCTCAAAAAGGAGAACGTGGCTCTTGGACACTTGGACAAGGGGAAGACCTGGCACTTTGAGGGCATGACTTGTCTCGTTGTGGACAGCTGAGCCCTGATGAATCCTTTCCCAGGATTTTGTAGTGGGAGTAGTGACTCAAACTCATGTTTCTCAAGGCCCAGCCTTGTATACCAGCCTTTACATGACTCTATTTTTATTTTTTCAAACAAAGCTCAGCAAAAATCAGACACTCATCTATCTATTTTTCTTCCATACCCTGATATGTTTTTAAGTGTCTGAACCCACTTTTGACTCAGTGGTTGAGCAACAAAACCACACCTAACAAAAGAAGACTTTTTTTGGTTTTTTTTTGGCTTTGTTTCCAGCACATTTTTGCCCAAATATGCAACATTCTCACACCTTAACTTAATTTTATCTCCTATAGATTGTGTGGTGGAGTAATTGCTGGTGAAGCTGTAAAGGTATCCACATGATGCGCATGGATAGAAAAACCTGGAGAAATTTGACTGGAAATCTTGTGTACCTGGAAACCAGCACCAGACCGATGCTTCTTAGTTCACAGTTGCTAATACTGCCTGATACTTCACATAGATTCACATAAACAGCCTGCCACTGCTGTCTGCATTTTGAAACATATGTATGTGCTCTGGATTTGTGCCCTTCAGTGCAGGACATTAGTTGTCCAACTCTTGCCGATAGCGGGTAGTAGAGGACGACCATATTGGCAGGCATAATTAAAAAAACGTCCTCCTGTCCCCAGAGAACAGATAGAAACTCCCTTAGTATCCTCCAATGGCCCTCCAGGCTGAGGTGGAGCCACTGGACACAGTGAGAGGCCAGGTGCAGAAATCAATACAGATATCATTTTATAACTAAAAAATTGTGCGTTTTGATGAACAGCTGGCAGTTGTGAACCTTCCCATCCCACTTAATGCAGGAAATGCAAGTCTGGAACCCAGACATTTGGTATTTCTAACACCACATATAATGACTTCCTAAGACTGTGCTTGTACTAGTCTCCTGCATTCAGGTACCAAATAAGGGCCCGAAGGTGGGCTCAATCCGTATTTGACTCTAGCTGGTCTTAGAGAGAACCAGTCCTCTTCTTCCATAGAAATGTTGTCATTGCTGTAGTTTGATTGAAATGCGTCTGAAAATCAGCATGTGGGACAGGAATCTTTTTTTTTATTAAAAAAGTAAACAAAGAAGAATTTTAATGAGCTGTTTTTTCTTTTTTTTTTTTTTGAATGCCCATGGGAAAATAAGGCTACTTCTCTACTAGTAAATTAATCAGCAACAAGACTGGTATTCTCTTGTCCAGAGGCCAGCTGGCACTCTGGCCACATCCCTACTAAACTTTCAGTACCTGGGCAGTACAAGTTCCCATGTCTGAGCATTGTACTGCTTAACTTATTAGTGTAGATAGAGCTCCAGTGGCCTTTCTTAGCAGAAAGAAATTATACTTTTCACAGAAACGCACAGACACCTCAACCTCAGCAAAACAGTCATTTGACAATCTGCTTCAAGCGCAAATTCACGGTGGAGTGAGGCAGAGAAGGGCTTCCAGGAAGGCCGAGGATGGAGGAGCCCGTCTTATGAGAAGAGACTAAATAAATCTAGGATTTTTAACCTAGCAAAAGAAGGGCTTAGAAGGGGGAAGTTGACTGCTGTCTATGAAATGCAGCAGGGAAGAAGCACCAGGAAGAGAGGAGACGTGTTGCCGCTAAACTGGAAAATATTAAATGTAGGGACTGGTTGTGAATTGACTGAGAACAGAAACTGGAGGCAAGTTTCTGGCCACAGGAACTTCTCAGTTCTTACAGAGCTTCCAAGTACAACTGGGGAAGAAGCCCCAGTAAGCTTTGAAATGGAGGGGGAGGAATCACCAAGGGGTTATACATTATGGAGCCCCTGCAGATAGAGGACTGAAGTCAGATCCAGAGGCTGCTGTCAGTCTCATGTGATTATGAACCCATTCACAAGGTAACTTGTTTCTCCCATGGAGACCTGTGGAATTAAAGCACCGCCTGCGAGGCAGATGAATTACAAGCCTTCTCACCATAAGGTTGCACCAGGCTGTAGCTTCAGATCTCTGCAACTGTCTGTCCCATGGGGCCAGCACTCTGCATTGGCCTCAGCTCTCCACTGAAACCCAAAGCCTTGAGGCCTCATTGCATCCTTATTCTCTTCTCAGGCATGGCAGAATCTGATTGGCTTTTAGTTCACATCCTATGTGGAAACAAAGATGTGGGCCCACCACTCTCTCTGGTCCTTCCTAGAGAGACTTCCTGCAGGCTCATATGCACACATACAAAAACATACACACGCACACACACACACACACACACACACACACACACACACACACACACAGAGCTTACAGACACATACAGAGCATACAGAGGCATGTCAGCATGGCCACACAGCTTTTGGCTCAGTGCTGGCTTGCATTCCCCACTTTCCCCTGCAGTTGGGCTGTTAGCTGTGCGGACACGGTCACATCTGTTCCATTCAGTTCTCATCTGTCCTCTCTAGCACTCTGCAGAGAGCAGAGCTGGTTTGGGGTGATGGACTGCCACCGTTCTGACATGGTCAGGAGAGGTGCTGAAACGGACCTGGAGAGCCTGCAGACAACCATGCTCCCTCTGAAGAGTCTGTCTCGGGTGCCAGGTGTCCCAGGGTTACCATGGCTGGACTGATTGTGTCCCAATCCTTGCTCATCTATACCATGAGTGTCTCTGCCCTCCATGCCATGTGCAGTGTACAGGCAGGTATGAAGCTCTTTGCACTGACGAGGCAAGAAAATACAGTATCTTACAGAGTCTTATATTCTGCCAGACATGGAGGGAATCCTATGTGTTTGCTGCAGGTCCAAAGCCTGCTGACAACAGCTCGTTGCAGCAATATTTCTTCTTTTAATTTTATAGTCATCCTTTACACTTTGATCACTTCACAAAAGTCTTTTTTCTCCTCCTGAATTTCCTTTCTTTGGTGGAAGTGTGTTGCTACAGAGGATCCAGCTGGTGGTGCTGGGGTGAATGTCATTCTGTGATGATTTCTCTGGTAGGGGATGTCATGGGGGATAGATTATCTTCCTCCTCTTACTGTGTATGGGAGTAACCACATGGCATCTTGTGGCCACTGCTGACAGTGAGATCTAGGACATGCGTTGCTCCTAATTTAACTTCTAGGGCACACGGAAGACCTCTGGCCAGCTGGAGTTTCTATGTCAGTGTGTCCATGATCCACACCACAGGCAAAATTAATCTAGTGTACATTGGACTCAACAGAGCACGTTAAAAAGTGCAGCTTCTCAGCACTTCTTGGGCTTGCGTACAATTTAACCCCCAGTCCCTCACCTGCTGAGAGGGCTCTTCTCCACTAGAAGCTTCAGACTTGAAATAGCCAAATGGAGCTTGTGCCTGGAACAGCAGAGGCTGAGGGTCAAAGCCCAAAAGGAGGTAAAGGGGAAAGGGAAAGGGATTTTGCTCTGCTTTGTGGCTGATCTTTGAACCTCTACTTCAATTTCTGAGTACAATGAACCATACTGGAGCTGTGTCTGCCTCTTAGTTACTGCAGAGGTGGAGAAGGAGGAGAAGGGACTTTGCAAAGGAGCAAGCTAAGTGCATATACTGGGTTTGGATGCTATCCGTGGCTCTTGCAGGTCCTGTCTTCTTCACAAACATCTCTGGGCCATCTTGGTGTTGAGTTCTGCCCTGCCATCAAGACCACCTATGGGCTCCCTGTTTGCTCCTGTTCCCTCTACTCCTCTGAGGCCTCTTTGCACCCAGCTGTCAGATGGAGAGAGCCTTTGTGCTGCCCATTCCTCTTGCTCTTTCTTCCCCATCCTTCCCTCTTCTGCCCGCTTCAGCACAGTGAGAACCGGCGGGAGTTGATATTCATCTTGGTGACCCCAATGAGCTTGAGCGGTGTCGAGAGGCTGAAGGAGGTCATGAGCGGGAAGTCACAGAAAAGGTCGGAGAGCTCGTCTCTCTCCTCCAGCTCATATGTGGCATCATTGAGCATGCGCTGGTGCAGGTGGCAGGTCTGCTCAATTTTCAGCTTGTTGATGTCACTGCGAAGACGCATGAGCTGCCTCGCCAGCTGCTGGTCCTGCAGGCGCATTTCTGCCTGAAACACAAAATGGAGGGTGGGCAGGGAAGAGGATATGAGCAAAGGCACATCAACTGTAACCCCTATGATACTTCCAGCTGGAGCAGAGACTGCATCAAATCATGGGAAATGTAGCTCAGCTAGAGATGCTACCCTGTTGAACTTGGAAGAACTAGGAGGGGAGATGGGGAGGAGACAGATGTCTTCCAAGCCAGCGGTGTACCCCAGGCAAAACAGTGCTTGGGATGATGAAGTTTTAGGGTACACGCAGTCTGTGCCTGGTCAGATTTCCAGAAGCACTGGTTCTTATTTTCAGCTCCCTGCTATGAAGCTGAAACTAAAACCAGCCATGCCGAAATTGTTGGCTTGGGTAACAGTTAGCGCAGGCTTCAGAGCTCTTATTTCAACCTTAACCAAGTCCAAATTAATTTTGCTCATAAGGGAACAGCCACAATGAGAAGCGACAATTAGAGGTGGAAATGACCAATTAAAAGAGCCCCAGAGGCCTGATCCCCAAATACTTGGGCCAGGTTTCCAGCCTACATAAATCAGTGCAGCTCTGTGGGGTTGTGCTGTTTCATGACAGCTGGGAACGAGTCCCTTGCCATTCCCTAGTGGCTCATCTCACTGATTGGAAGTGGCTCTCAGGATGGACCTCCATGGTTTCCCACAGGAGAGAAAGTGGACTGTCCTGCAGGCTAATGAGCTAAGCATTTCAGAGGGTTTGTCCTCCCTTGGCACTTAACTTAGAAAGGTGGAAGATTCAGAAGCGATGAAAGGAAACAGCTCTTTTTTTTTTTTTTTTTTAAACCTGTAATTAAGCAGAAAATTTCTTGCCGCAGGATATTGGGGGTGGCGAGGAGGGAGGTGAACACTTTAGTGAGATTCACAGCAAGGATCAGCCTTTATCTGGATGAAATTAGTAGGCAGAGTTAGAATAGCAAATACTGAGAACACAATCCTCACTCCTCACCCCACATCCCTCCTCGTAAAAAAGCAAGAAACCACAAAAGCCACAAAGAAAAGAGAGTAGTGGGAGATAATCCAAGCAGCTCTTAGCAAACCCTGTGGCTTAAACCTCTCTGTAACTACTGCAGACTAGGGGGACCAAGACTGGGTGGAAAATAGTCCTCCTCTGCCCCAATGTGGTGTCGTGTCTCCATCACAGGACACAAACCAGCGTGAGAAGACAGTCCCTCATTACCATGACTTCTGGTTTTGATCAATGAGGCATTGCTGCTCTTCTGCCCCAGCACTGCGAGACATAGCGAGGGGAGGTCCTATATCCGAGCAGGCTCATGGCAAGTGAAGAAGCTGCACTAGCAGGGTGAAGTGCCTGGAGGGAGGCTTGACTCTGCTCCAGCTGTTCTCTGCGGGGCCAGAAAGCCCCTGAATGCCCTGCAATGCTGCGCTCGAGCCTGAGCTGAGAGCTGACATTAATAGAACAAAAGTTAATCCAAGCTGAGTTTTTCTCACTCCCAGTGCTGCAGCCACGAAGGCAGCAGGGATGAACTTGTCTGCATGCTCTAAGCCAGCCACTGGACTCCATCGTGGTTACCTGGAAAGGATTAAGCCACCTTTGCACAAATTTCAGAGAGAACTCCCCTCCTGCATTGTTGGCAGGATTGTGGCCATTTACCTTCTCTGAAAACTAACTATTGCCTTGTAGGCCTCATAACCCATGCCCCCTGCAGAGCAGGTTTTTCTCCTCCCACATGAGCTGCAATGAAAAAAATTTTGGTGACATTTTTTCCTGTTTCACAATGAATGCTGTGACTTGACATCTTATCAGGAAGGTGATCACAGCTGCTATTGAACTGGCCCTTGAACATTCTTTCTTGTCAGTTTATCAAGCTACAGAAATGTCGATAAACGCTTGCATTAAAGGTTTTGAGGAATGTGGCATTATAAAAACAAGCTGAAAAGGATTTAAAAATGAAATAGGAGGTCATCGTGGAGAGGAAAGTGACGGAGATTTCTGTTTTTTCTCTGCAAGCCAGCTCTTCAAATTTTTGACCACTTCTTGCTTTCTGTGTGTTTCTAGGAAACCGTTTATCTCTTGTGCAAGCCTGAAGACAAAGCTGCTTGTGGTGTGGTAGCAGATTCTTCCTTTTACCCTCCAGGAGCTCACACCTCTGACCACCCTTCCTTTCCCCTTGTCTGACCTGCCAATCCTCGAGTTCCCCAAAGCAGCTCCTTTCACATCCAGTTGGCCAGCTGGCCCGCCTGTAAGACGAAAATAATGCTGCATTGTCCGCTGAGATGCAGGGAGCAAAATCACCCTCAGGGCCCATCTACATTGATCAAAAGAGACTATTTCCTTAGACACAGCTCTTTCTGAATGTGCCAAGGAATATCATGCTCTGGGGCTGAATGGGAAAGTAGGGGCGATGTGTCAGATGTGCAGCATGCTTGGACTGGCACGGGTAGCACTTTTCCAGAGAGATAAGGTCCCCTTCTTCCCTCCGTTGGGGCTGGGACTGGGACATTACTCTTTGGATGGTCTCCATTAAGGGGAGCTGCCTCTTTTCATCAGAGGAAAGAAAAGAGAGTGGGAGAGGCACAAAGCCCGGTAATGGCTGACTAAAGGATTATGCACACAATGAGGAGATGGCATGGGAGTTGAGGGCTGTCACCGCTTGGACCATTTGGGATCCCCCTCCGTTTGCTGAGAGCTCAGAAGTGCCTTGTGCAATGACAGCTCCTGGGGCGGAGGCATTTCCGTGCAGGCATAAAGGCCGGGGAACAGCCTCTCTTGCTCCTCCCACTGCCCCAAAGAGTTAGCTCGAGATGCAAAAACTCTGTCATCCCTCAGCGGACTTGCTCTTTCCAACCCTCCCAGTGTGCTGGAGTTGCGACAAGCGTGGCTAAGCTGATCTCTGGTTCACCTCTCCCACGAGGAGGCATATGCACCTGCCTGGAGGCCCTGCCCCTCTGCAAATCAGATCATGGGCATGCTGCAGCATCTTTACTGGGCAATCCCAAATTTCTTAGGCCCTGGGGTCATGACCTGACAGGGTTGCAGACCTGGACGGTCTCTGCATCTCTGTTTTACAAGGGCAGGAAGCTGCGCTGTGGCTATGCTGTATGGGACGTATGAGTCACCTTGTGTGAGAAGATGTCACTGGATGTAGACAGGATTGGGCAATCCAGAGGAAAGTGATGTGGTTTGTTCAAAACCACCCAGAACATTAGCAGAATTTGGGTCAGAACCCAGAAATCGTCACTCTCCTTTCCTTTTCCAGACACTCTTCAAGAGTGTTAGAAATATATAAGCCGTCAAGGCAGAGGACCAGACCATTGCTATAAATGATTAATGATCTCTTTTTAAAGTGAGCACTGTCAGGTCAGCAAAGATCCACAAAGCCTCCTGGAAAGAAATAATAGGATTATAGTGTCCACATCAAGGGAAGTCGTGGGCTTTCAGTTTAAACAGTTTATCCACAGGGCCACTCACCAAAGTGCAATTTGATGAACCAGTTCATTTGTGTGGGACAATGGCATGCTCACACGCGCTCTGTGAGATACCCCAGAGAAACTCACAGGGCACACCGCACAGAAGCCATGCACTTTACCTCCTTCGAGTCTTGCATGCCAAATGCAGGAACAGCTTCAGGTGGGTCCTGCTCACATAAGCAAGCTGCTGCTTTACGTACTCTGCATTCCCCCCCCAGCTCCAGCAGGCAAAGCTGCATGGTTAAAGAACTCATTGGGATTCACAAGCTGGTGGTTCAAGTGGTTTGAACTTGCTATGGCAGGAAGGGGAACCAAACCCAGGTCTCCTTTCTTCCTGGCAGAGGAGATACTGCAACCACTAGACCGAATCGCAAAGCTGGACCGCAGTGGCCTGACTGAGCAAGTCTTATGAACCTAGGAAGATTTTTCTGTTTTTAAAACATATTTAAAATAGAGGGAGAGAGAGAAAATTTTGGATGCATCCTTGCCTTTTTTCCAGTCCAGGTGGCTTAGCCCAAGTAGATGTAGCCCAGGATGTAGCCCAGACTTGTCTCCAGGTTTACCTTAACCGTGCACTATCATCTGTGTGGTCATAGACTGGAAAGTCTGAAAGTTCCCATTGCCATTGTTCATTCTCCCCTGTGCGTTGCTGTGGAGGGGGGACACAGCAGCAGAGAGGACCGCAGAGCGCAGAGGAGATGTGGAGCTCTTTGGGACCTCTTCCCAAGAGAAGCATCACACGGGCAGAGTCCCAACACAAGGTCCACGAAGCACAGGGTGGTGGCCTGTTGAGAAATAGCTGCTCCCAGGGGGCTAAGTCCTTTGTTTTATTTCCAAAGATCAAACAAAGCTTAAAGTAAAACAGGTGCTTTCCTAACCGAATGCAGCCCCCTTTGCTGGCTGCTTTATTAGGATCCAATATAACTCTTGTTGAATTCATTGGGAAGATTCCCAGGGACTTCAGTAGCACTCAAGTCTAGTCCTTAATCAGACCAGTCAACTATACACACTGGTAAGGCCTTTCTAAATGACTGACCAACTGGACAGAGATGTTTGTGATTTCCAGGGAGAGAACATCAGACATCTGAATTTCTTTTAAAGAGTCTGTCCTGCACGCTGGCTCATATTATTCTGATTTTAGTTCCAAGTATCGGTGAATTCAGGAAGGCAAAAAATATTTTCTTCCTGGACTAAAGTCAGAACTGTCCGAAGACATACAAATTCACAGCGGGGTTCTGTTCTTTAACTGTTCGCTATTCATTTAGGAAGAAGAGGGCTTTGAGGGCTCATTTTTAGAACCGGTAAAAAATTGTCCTGACAAATTTCAAGAACCAAAAAGAAAACCCAATCTGGCCACTCTGATCCTTGAGTCTTTCACCACCTTTACTCTCTGTGGTGCTCCAGAGATCTCCCAGAAGGACTGCTCCTCCAAGCTGAGATCTGGCCATCCAGATGCTCTTCTAGTCCATACAGAGCACAGTTTCGAGGCTCTTGCTTATCCTGGCTGATGATGGCCTTATTTTCAGCACTGATGAAGAGTGGCCACATCTGACAGAGCAAAGGCAAACAAGAGGGCAAAGAAGAGACAGAAGGTGTTAGAGAAGGAAATGTTCCAACCCCTGAGCAGTTCAACACATGCTGAGTGTTGCAATTTGCTTGTACACCTACACAGAGCCTCTCAGGGAAAAAACAAGAGCAGGAATTTGCATGTCTGAATAAATCAGCTTTTCAAGGCCTGATTCTCAGCAGGTCCCAGCTGACACCACTGGCTGGAGCTCAGCAGGCTTATGTCAGTCCTATAAACCAGGGCCAGGCCTTAATGTGTAAGAAGTAGAATCGGGCCCTGGGAAAAGTCCTGTGGGGAGAAAGATCAAGAACAACAGATGCACAATAAGACCTTGGCTTTGTCCTTATCTTCACTTCAGCGTGTGAAGAGCCAGGACCTGGTCTGCTCTGGAGATGCTGAAGCAAATCCTTTGCAGCACTGGATAACCCATTTTGTGTGGACTGGGAGTAACAGGAAACTTTAATTTTAAAGCTGGACACTCCTGGACTACCTGGACTTGCTAGGTAGCTCACTAGTGCCGGTGCCCATCCTGCAGCATCGTGGCCAGCTGACAGTCTGGCCATACACTTACTGTTAACTTCACTTAGCCTCCAAAAGAGGGTGGTCCCATCCAGGCTGCCTGTAGGGAATGGTCCTCGGCGTGTGCAAACTCCTGAAGCTCTGTTTGGCAGGGTACTAACTGGCACAAGCCAAAACTGTACTTGGGCCACGCGAATGCGACAGCCCAGCCCACACCATGCTAGGGGCTGTGCTAGCAACGGAGCAGAGTGGGTGAGGGAGCTCCAGTGGTCACCTCCTGACACAGTTGTATTTCGTTCAGTATGGACATAGGCTGGTATCCTTGTTTCCTTAATTGAAATCTCCACATGCACTGGATTTTACAATTTCATTGGATAGGTGAATCCTACATACTCTAATTGACTTCTAATGAAGGACTGCACAGACTGGAGGATAATTCACCTCGCAGTGAAGGACAGCGTGGCAGACACAGTTATGTCCCAGCTCTGGCTACTGAGACTTTTTTGGATGCTATTGAGGAAGTTGTCCAAGATACTCAAGCTAGCTTCGTCTCTACTGGTAAACAGAGCCATAGGGTGGCACACGCTCTGGACCTTGGCCATCCACTATTTTATTTTGTTAGCCCAGTTGCTGGCATAGCTTTGACTTCAGCCAGCTAGCACTGACACAGACACCCTCCAAGCATAGTTTATGAGTTGGGCCAGGGGTCCCCAGCCAGATATCATTCCCAGCAGCAAGAGAACAGGCCTTGGCACTATTTATGCTGGTACAGATAATCTCTCTTCTGCTATGCTCTACAGCTACTTTTGCACCCGGTCACTTGGGGCAAGGCTGAGTTATATGAAGCTCCCATGTCTTTGGTGCCATACATTAAACCAGATCAGAAGGATTCATTGCCCGCTTTATAGGCTGGCTCAAGGGGTGGGGTGCTGGAGTCCTGCCTAGCCGCCCAGAGCATGGTGTTGCCTGAGGGACGCCGTCCTTTCTGGCCTTGGCTCCTGCTTTAATAGATGTAGGAACCCAGACATAACCAAATCCTGCTCCAAAGGCTTCCCATTTACTTTACTAGCATACTAATAGGGGTAAACGATGCAGGTTTCAACCCTGCAACGCTGCTGTGTTGCAGTGAATGGAAACCTGTTAATTTATTCCAACAGGATTTGGGTTTCACCCTTCAAACATAATGTAAAAATGCATCTTTGTTTTCCAGCATCCTGGGAAGTGACGGATGAGCCATGTTCTGACTGTCTGCTGGCAGCTGTTACCCAGCAATAGTGCCTCCAACATAGCTATTGGCTGTGTGGTCAGTTGTATGCTTGTTCTCTTTTGGGGGGAAATTGTTCTAAATTACATGAGTCACATCCAGATGCAGTGAAGACTGGTATAATTAAGAGACAGGAAAATGGGAAGTGAAGAACAACTAGGGCTTGCTTTGCCTTTTCTTTTTTTAAGTTTAAACTTTTAGTCTTCATCAGATGGTGGTTTATATACCACGCCCCAGTCTAAAGGGTAGAATCAGACTCCAAGAAAATTTATACTTCCATCATGGGCAGAATCCCAAAGAACAAACCAAACCCTTTTAAATCTGGGGCTCTGAGAAGGGAAATCTGCTCCTTACTGCCTTTGGGGATCTTGAGACTTGACTTTTGCATCAAGTGCACTGTGAATTTAAGATTTCATTACAGATGCAAGCATGGACCCCAGTCTGGGTCTGACACCAGGAGCTGATATTCTCCACAGCACTGAGTGATTTTAGGAGATTAGCTCAGAACTTATTGCAGTAGCCCTGGCTTCCTGAAAGTACTGCATTCACCTCTGACATAAATGATCCTGAGAAAACATCTCAATCACCAAAAAGTATGACATGCAGAATCACTTCTGTAAATAAGTTCTCAAGAGATCAATCTGCTGGGCTAATAGAGCATCAGCAGCAAAAAGCTGATGAATAAATATTCTTTGGAGTGAAGGTTACAGAGACTTTTTGCAAAATTGTTATTCACTAGTTTGCGTGAGAAGTTTTCCTCAAAGACTTCCAGTCTTATCAAAAGCAAAACATTTGCACAGGAACCTGTTCACAAGTGTATCTGAACCACATGCATTCTCCCAGTCCTGAAGGACCCTCAGTGTTGCAAATATCACTGCTGTCAGAACAGCTGCAAATAGTGGTGGGAGTCACAGGTGAACATCCAACCAGGCAACAGAAACAAAGTCACATTACATCGCTTGCGCCCAGTTCCCAGTCACGTGGGCCATATAATACAGATTTTTCACTACAATAAGGAAGAAGGGTCACTAATTAGTGTGGGGGGGCTTATAACACATGCTCTTAGACCCTGAGAAAACCACTCGGTTTCTCTGCTTGCACCTACACTTGTGAAGAGCACCAGGGCTCAATAGACAATGAGCCTATAAGAGTTGACTGAAGAGGGTCTGAGATAAGGCTCTACTATCATACATACAGCAGAGGAAGGAATAATTATTCATTACTTATTACACTGTCACAGCACAAGGACCCCACAACAGTTTCAAACAAAAGGAAATACTAGGTCCCACAGTCCAGAAATGAACTGGGGGTAGCGGGTTACCACAGAATGTTAGAGAGCTCAGACAGACATGAGTTTAAAAAAAGGGAGGGGGATTATTAGGGAAACACTTGAACGTTAGATCCTTACAGATGCTCTGCCAAGCACCTTTCCCTTCTCTGGGCTGCTCCTGTTCCTGCTCCTGCCAGCCACAGAAAAAGCAATGACTAAATGTTGCATTTTCACCTGGGGCTGAAGACAAGCTGAAAGAGCACTATCTAACAGGAACAGAAAGCCACTTACCAATTCCTTCCTGAGCCAAGTCAAAGCTTCATCGATGCTCTCAAAACCTCCTATTTTCCCTGAGGTAAGAGTCACCTTGTCCTCGGAAGAGGTCCCATTGAGCTGTAGCTGCACCTTCCTTAGAGGGACAGTCTCCTCTGTGGCCTTTCTGGCCTCGTTCACCTCTTCCTCTCCAGCCGGCTGAGGGCTTTTCCATGCCTGCTCCTCCACCTTTGCCTTCCACTCCAAGTAGGATGGGCGCCTGGTTTCCAGTCTCAGCTTCTCTGTCAATGCCTTGAGACTCCTCAGGTGATCATCGGGAGGAACAGCACCTCCCGAGCTGGTATCCGTGCTCTCTGATGCCTCTTCTATTTGGATTTTAGGGAGAGACATCCTCTCTGGGAGTCAAACAGCATAGAGGTGGGCTACAAAGGGCAAGACCTGGGGTGGGAAACCCTCAGAGCCAGGCCTGCTTGCCTCCACTGCCGTGGCGTGCCAGACACAGCCCCTTGGAGGACAGCCACATCAACAGGGTCTCCCTTTCAGGCACTGCACTGGCCCTGGATGAACACCTAGAACAAAGGCAGAGAGTTGATTTCGATGGTGAGATCCAAAAAGGAGTGAGAAGGGAGAGACAGCTCTTCCTACAAGCAGGCTGGATTGGAGGGAGTGATGGCTTTGGAAAAGGCACAGTGCTAGGCTGTTCTTTGAGAGTGTTACCTCACCTCAGCTATTTGACTGCTTTTTGGGCAGGAACAGACAGGTTTTAGCTCTTAGTGATGCTCTGGTTGCCTATATCTCCAATCAAGGGAGATGGTCATGGTCAAGGGGCCATGAAAGGGCTGCCAAGGAGGCCAGGACACATTCACATGACCTTCTGGGGCTAAATCACATAAACCAATGTCCTCTGGAGCCAGCAATGTCTGGTCCTGGGGGCTGGGGGATTTCCTTGTCTCTATGTACCATTCTGATGATTTTCTGGTTGGCAATTTCTTCAGAAAGGGAAAACACAGACCGATGAAATAAGACTTAATTCAAATGTCTCCCAAGAGTTAGAGCCAAAAGGAGAGCTGGGAAAAGTGGGTTAACTCATGTTAACTCCTAAACTGTTCTGGAGGAGCGTTTGGAAAAATGCTAGCTGGCCTCGGTCACAGCCATGCTGGGTCCATGCTGACAGCCCAACACGGCAGACCATCAGCTTCCAGTGCCCAGTGTCTTGGTACTGCTTAATTCACCAGGGCAGGTGTATCCAAGGGGCTTTTCTCGCTCATTCGCCTGGACACACATGCCTCCTGACAGGCGTAGCCCTTACACCGCATGGGTTTCTGAGCATGGCAGGATGCTTGAAAATACCTTGAAAGTGGAGTGACACTCAGGACCTAGGAGTTTTCATCCCAGCTTTTCCTCTGGACATCGCATGTGGACTCAAAGAAACTGCGTCCACACTCTGCACCGCAGTTTCCCTCTCTGCAGAGCTGGGCTAATGATACCTGCTTCCACGGCACCCTATGAGACAGAGGACTCAAGCAACTCTGCAGGAGCTAGGCAGACCAGCTTCTGCATTAATTCAATGGTAGGATCAGATAAGAGACTTTCACAAGGTCATATGTTCATCTATGGCTGAGCTAGGAATAGATCTCGTCCACACGTAGAATGCAAAACAAATACTTTCTGCCTGCCTGGTAGTACGCCCAGAAAGATCAGCCGGGATGTATAGAGTTTTCTAGCTGGATGCACTAAAACAGAGTAGTATGAGTTACTCAGCCATTCTTTTCCCTGCTATTTACGCCCACAAGGACGCACGTAACTCTGAAACCCAGACCATAATTATGCCTCTCAAACCTTCTCACTACGAAGATTCAATTTAAAATAAACACTAACTGAAAACAAGATTTATCCCACAATTGTATGCAGGCACATGAGCTGAATGAGTAGTTGATAATATACACACAGACAGTCTGGGGGTGGAGAATTAGTCATGTTGCAGTCTTGTTCCTGCTCCTATTGATGTTAATGAGAGCTTCACGGGGAGCAGGAGCAAACCCAGACACTATATCAGATTGAAGCTCACAATTCTCACTTCTGGAGCAGCAATCTCTTTTCTGTTGAGAAAAGATGGTATGGAAGTTAAGGCAGAGCAATGGCTTTTCAGAGAGTCTGACCATATACCAGCTCCTGAAATGATGCTTTGCAGGGCTGAAGGCATGTCAATGAATTTCACTTGCCTAGACGTTCAACAGGATATTTCTAGCCTGCCAAAATCAATAAAGTGAAACACCTGCAGATTTTAAAGGCTTTGCCTCTGAGTTTTTGTTCCTTCCATTGAGATGGAAATTGTCAGGAGCTGCTGAATACAGCAGCCCGATAGAGGTGAGGTTGCCGCAGCTCCACGTCAGGCTGCTGAATTTGGCAGCCCCAACAGAGATAATATTTCTATTGGAAGGCTGAATTTTCTGAGTTCCACCAGTACAGTGCAGATCCTCCACAGCCATTTTTTGTCTTGTGTCTTCTGTATGTATAAAAGCCTCAAAGTAGAAAAAGTTCTTGCTATTTGTGCCCTGGGTATAGCTCAGGTTAGCATTTATGGCATGGGGCCCTGAAAGCACCCCAGCAGTTGGGAGCATTCCCTCTGCTGCAACCCTGCTCTGAGCAGTGCGCTTCCCCTCCCTGTCCTTGCCTTGCTAGAGCTGCTGATGGATTTGATATTTCTGCTCTGAAGTGGCACCCTTCCAACCCATCTTTCACCTCCTCCCAGGTGCAACATGAAACTTTCCCTTCACTCTGTGTAGAGGTTCTCCCTAAATAGGGATGTCTGTTCCCCAGCCTGTCCAAACTCAAAAACAACAGAAGGGAGCTGCCTCTAATTTCCTATCAATACCTTGAACTTGGGTCAAAGATCTACTGTAGAAAGAGATCTGAAAGCAGTAAGCGTGTGAAAAATGTCTGTGTGTGAGACTGTAATACAAACCTGTTTGCTGCCTGAGAGCTACCTAATTCATGGGAATAAATGTGGCTTCTCGCTCAAATCAACAGTATTCTCCTAGACTCCCTACCCCAGGCTCAGTGTTTTCCTAGTCCAGCCTGAGCAAGGGAATTTAAGCGATTAACCCTTGATTTGTCTTAATTAGTCTTCACTAGTCAATGTCAGTGGGTTTATGACGTGCCTACTTAAGTGCAACAAGACGTTGGCACCCAAATGGTGAGGGCCAGCCCATCTCTACCCAGTACATTTGCCCATGGGTTCCCCCTTTCCTTGCATGAAACCTATACATCCTGAAGGCATAGGACATGCAAGTTTGGGTAAGGGAGTCAACAAAAACCCTTCAGTTTCTTTGTCGGGTTAGCCTTCCTTCAGAAGAGCAAGCTTAGCTGCTCTACCCTGCAGGCTGTGGGATCGTTAAGGTGCAATGCAAAGGGAGCAGCAGAAGCACACAGCCAGGTGGGGAAATAACAGGGCTCTCAAACCAGACTGGGTGTGAAGTCCCACCATGCCAAGACTGACTGAGTTGAAATGCCCTTTGCATTGCGCCCTTTGCATTTGCGCCTTTGCAGGCCCAGGCCAAGTGCACTTTTTGCAGTTCATGGAGAGGCCTCTGCTCTAAGAAGCGAGACGCAGCAGCACAATTTGCCACCACACCTTCACACTGCAGCCATTCCTCCATCCCTGAAGCAGATGCAGCAGACCTGTCACCATCACACACTCGCATACATCACTGCCTGTGCATTAAAGCAGGGGTCAGGAGAGCCATGCTGAACATCCCCTTGTAAAGCAGGTGTGATGGGGGAAGTACTACAAGGCAGGAGGAAGTTGAATGGGCTAGAAGAAAAGCTTGGCTTTATCTTCACTGATGATAGATAATAATACAATTCAGATGCTGTTCTTCACAGTCAAAAGGGAGATTGCACAAAATGATGCTATGCACAGCCTTTTGCACAGCAGGGGCTGTATATGTCTGAAAAGTTGTATAAGTCTGTACCTTCCTATGAGCCCTCTGCATCCTTGTCAACTTTGAACGTAAGCTTTTCAGGAAGCAGCATTGTTTGCTGGGTGCTGGGCTGGAGCAGCACAGTCACAACCTGTTAAATTCAAACAAGGCTAAGGACACTCGGCAGTTTGGAGGTTCACATATTGGATAGCAAGCAGTCTAGAAGAGGAAAGAAAAAAAGGAGGAAGAAACACTCAGGATCAAGGCTGGAGAAAAAAAGCAGAATAAAACAGCTAGCCAAGACAGAAGTGCAGAGAGAAAATTATTCCTCTCCCTTCACTATTCCTAATGGATATCAGCTTATTCTAACACCATTTCTTTCTGCAAAAGAGCAGCAGTGATTTTAAGAGTTCCTATTATTCTGCTCATCTATTCTTCGAGAAGAAAAAAGAGCCTCAGTATGTAACAAAGTCCATCCTGAGGGAATTTCTTTTGACAGCTGAAGGGGTGCCTGTGTAGCCCATGGATGACACTTACCCCAGAATGTGATAAACAGGGTAGTGGTCATAGTCTGGCCTATTAATGACCTTCAAAAAAACACTTTAGCCCCTCCTATGCCTCAATTTCCCTCTCACTAAATGGGCAGTTCATGCAGCTGGCCTTTGGAAAAAAACTCTGAGGATCTTCAGAGACTAACAGAAACCAACCTCCTGTGTTTTCAGGTGTCTCCATCTCATCTGGGTGTCTACGCTCCAAGTATAATCAGTGCAGAGATATCCCGTATTATCCATGGAGTCTGGGACATGGTTCATCTGATAGTCTGCAGGCATTTACTACAGGGTTTGCATTTGTGTTGCCTCATGGGCCGTGCAGACACCCCTTGATCCTACAAATGGAAAACCTAAAGTAAACTGCACCTGCTCACAACATCCTCTAGCTCTTCAGGTTCTTCCACGTTTGTGGGGCAGGTTAAGGGGACCAACTGGGATGGAGACATCTGACGACCTTCAGCCTCAGGTCCTTTTGAGTGAGGAAGACCCTGCGGCTGAAACAGCAGCCCAAAGAAATAATGAGGTGGAGCCGAGAGATGGGGGACTGGCACGGTGCAGTGTGTGTATGCCTAGTGTGGCGAGAGTAGAGTTTGCCTTCCTTCCAGAAGCCTAAGAGATGGGGATAGTGGAGATGGCTGACTCTTGTGGGGTAACAGAGTAGGGAATAATCAGGTACCTGGATATACTCTCCAGCAGCAGCAGGTGAACAACTGGTGATTCAACTCCCTTTTCACAAGCAAGAGTGGCCAGTCCAGGTGCACATTTGACTTAGAGGTATAAAGAGGGGACAGTGACGGGTATTCAGCCTATCTCCTTCTCCCCGGCGCTGCCTTACTGCTTAACCAGTGCTGGCTTGGCTGCACAAGCATCATGCCGAGGGCAGCTGGGAGCCAGGACCCTGCAGGTCTGCAGCAGGTTGGCAGAGGGCAGGGAGGAGGAGACGCCTTTGCAAGGGGGTTGCCATAGCAATGGAGTAGGGAGGGCTCCAGATCCACCACTGCCTCCTCGGCTGCTGCACACAGCGAGGTGGGGCTCCAGAGCATCCTCCGGGCAGCAGCAATGCCGAGGCCCTGGGGACCTGAACAAGGTAAGGAGATAGCCAGGCCAGGCCCACACATCGGGTCTCTGGAGCCGGTGGCTTCCATGCAAGGATGCTGCTTTTGAATAGTTCCTTTCCCCACACCAAAATGACCTCCCTGAGGAGGTGAGCGGTTACGCAGTGTGGACTCTGGTGCGTTTAGGGCTACTCGATCCATTTCTGTAGCACCTGAAATATGCTCCTGCAGAAAACTGATCTGGTTCCCAAATGCCCTTCTTGCTTGTCCTTAAGTGACTTTCAGCCTCCCTCCCCACAAAAGGAGACGATGCCAGAAAAACTGGTCACTCCAGGAGCCTGATCCTGAAGCCAGGACTCCTTCCAGAACAGAAGCCCCTGATGAAATCATTGCCCTCAGGATCAGATGCTCTCAGCCTGGTCAGCACAGCACAGGGACGGGACAGACAGGGATGCTCATGGCATCAGCTGTGGGCAGCCAAATCCTGAATCCAACTTGGAGTTTGGTCTTGCCTTCACCTGCCCAGGGAAGCAGGTGCCCAGGGAAGTGCCCTTGCTAAGCACTCATGCTGAGGAGAGTGCCCTCATATTTGTGTTGTCCCCTTCCCATCATCCATCATGTTCCCAAACCTCACTTGGGAAGGACATTTTGGAGGTCTCCACCAACAAACTGCCTAGGCCTGATCCCCCTGTGCCAGCAGAGGGAGGACTGGGAACCTTCTGGCAGGGATGAGGATCCAGGGGGAAGCCAATGAGGGGTATGCGGGAGCAAGGGGGGCTGTGGAAGATCATGGGAGAGTCCTCTGCTCAGCACTGGTGCCTGCTGGCCTGTCTCTGGCCACCTCTGAGCCATCTTCAGCTGCATTTGAGCCTTGGCCCTTCTTCTAGGGGCAAGACAAACACACCTAAGTCAGGCCCCGTAAGCATGAGTAAAGTGAAATGCAGGTTCTGATCTAGCGACTCTGCCTTCAGGCCTCCTTGAGGGCTACTAGGCTAGCTGTGTCCCTTCACAAATAGACAGACCTGACTTCCAGCCTCATACATTAAAAAAGCCCAGGGGGAGACCCGAGTGCTGTCTCTCTGTGTCCGTGCAGTGCAGTTTTGGTGCAAGCCAACTAACACTAACCCAAATAAGCAGGTTGAATGTAGGCACCCTGCTCAGGAGAGTGAGAGAATTTCTTGCTACCGACCCAGTCAGCAACACTATTTAGCCGGGGCCAGACCACGGCAGGGACCGTGCTAACATTTGGGTAGTAGAGCTGACCAAATGCCCATGCCCAAGTCCTGGCAGTGTTGTATTTACTAGTATTAGACATATGTAGAGACAGCTTCCAAACTGACCTTAAGTGGCCTCGCTGTGAGCTGAGTTTCCGTCCCTGTGTTGATCCACAATGTGAGGCCCTGGGGCTGGTTTTATGAGGTGGTTACATCATAGCCCTGAGTGTTGAGACACTGATAAAGCACCTAATTTAATGGGATCCTGAGTGCAGCTGGCTATTGCTGTAAATCTATTGTCATGAATAAAACCCAAGGACCTCCCAGACAACTCAGATGCTAAGGTGAGCAGCGGGGACACACTTCTAGGTTGCACCATTCCCAGATTCACGGGGACGAGGGGGAAGAAGTGGGGCTTTCCATTCATGTATGACCTGTAGTAGGTGAGGCTACCCCCTGCCCAGCACTTCTTTCTGCCCATACTGCCCCTGGAAAAAACACAAAAACCCAACCAACGCAAGGAAGAGAGCAGGGGTGAGCAGTGGGGGGACTGCATCCAGTCTATCTGACTGACGAGAAGCACAGCGGAGGTGCGAAGAGGCATCGGGAGGAAGGTGAGGGGACTGTCCCTGTCCTGCAGACACAGTCTGCAGCTGTGACACCCCTCCTCAACCCTGCTGAAGTGGACAACGGTCCATGGCCACACTGGCATTGCGCCGTGCAGCCCCTGTTCTCCCCAAGAGCCTGGGGAGGCAGAGCAGGCTGCGAATGCAGAGAGGCCCCGAGGACAAAAAAGGCAGAGTTTGCTCAAGCAGCTCTCAGAGCACGTGTCCTGTCCCCTCAAGGGTCAGAGACCACCCTGGGCCAGACCTAGGCACACGCAGGCCCTGTGACTCCAGATGCTGACGGCAGCAGCGATTAGTTTGTGCTCCTTGCCCTAAGTTATTTTTTCCACGCTGGTCTCAATCCTCAGTGATAGTGTCAGAACCTGATTCGATAAATATATCTGTCCCTTCCTGCCTAGCTACAGCTGATCCCTGCCGCCTCTGCCACACAAAACCCGAGCAGGCTCCATCAAGGAAACAGACTGAGATTGGTGTCTGCTTCTGACGGACCCTGACAGCTTCACTTTCACACTCGTCCAGCTCTCCTCAGTCAGCAGATTTCCAGCAGTCGGATGGAAATCCAGACTGAAGATGACCCAGGCACTGCCAGATTTTTGGCATTCCTACAAGGCAGTCCTCCAGCGAGTGGGAAACGTTGGCAAACTGGGAGATATCGCAGCAGCTGGGGATTCTGCCCAGCCTTTGTCTACGAAGAGAGGGGCAGCACTGACTCTCAGCCCATCGTCCGAAAAAAGGGATAATTATCTTAAGAGGAAAGCAATTAAACAGCAGCAGAACTGGCCAGTTGACACCTTCTTGGTGAAGAGACCCTATCCATGCTAGCCATCTTCTGGCAAGGCCGGTTGAAGCACAGCAAGAGTCAGGGACTGGGAGCAGGGGTTGCTTTTCCGTACGCTGCCCCAGGGTCCCAGCAGGTCTTGGGAGCTAATCGTGTAGAGGGCAGGCCTAACCTGCCCCCCAAAATGCCCCTGAAGGACCTGTGATTTGTCAGAGCCACTTCCTTCCCCTCTTTTCCCTGCTGCCACCCCAAACGTAGCTGTGTTTTACCAGCGGAAAGAGCAGGCAGAGCAGGCAGTCAGACCTCTGTACCAGTGCCACCAGGGTAATTCAAAGGGCTGTGACTCCTTGGGAATGAGCCAGATTAGGCTGAGAAATGCTCTCTTCCCAGGAGACTGCCACATGGAGTTATTTTTCCCTAAATGCAGCATGAAAGGCAGCAGGCTGAAGGGTATATTTTAGGAGAAAAATACTTTCTGGCTTTGCTAGGCTTCATTCTGCCAGCGCTGAGCCCCCTCAAGCCCATGCAGCATCAGGGGCCAGTGCCCACTTGAGGCCCCCAGGCTTCAAGTTAAAGTGATCAGGGGACGGGGGTCAGCCCCCTGGCGATCCCCTAATCCCCTTTACACGCTCCCTGTCCCATCCAATTACTCGCTTTAGCAGCTGCCCGGGTGCTAATCGTCCAAGCACTGTACTCAGACCTGCCTTCTCCCAGGTGCTTGCAATGCTGATGTGACTTACGCTTTTTTATTACTTATTTTATCCAATACGAGCTACTAGCAAGCAGACCCCCAATCCCTCCCCCTGCAAAAGGCCAAATTACTATGAGGCTGATTTGTTCTTTCTGCAGTGCCTCTCTGCTAGATTTTGCAAACACCTAATGGCTGCGGAGCTGTTACAAGCCCAGAGCACGGGAGAAGCCAGATTCCTCCCTTTTTGTTTTTTTTTTTTTTTGTGTCGTACAGATCCTCCTGAAGAGGTAACATTGCAATGGGCATTTGAAAGTGGAGGAGATCTGAAACGCAAATAAAAGCGACAGGACCAGCATGTCGAAATGACGGCTGGTAGGGAGGAGACCCACAACAGCCAGAATGAGCTCGTTCCCCCTGAAAAGTGGCAAATCCATAAGATACTGGGAATGAGCAGACAAAGCTGTGGTAATGTGGCACCAGCCAGACACAGCTGCCCTCGTTGGAAAAAGACACTGGGTTTTCATTTGTTTC